TGAACCGTCGGCGGGGCCTGTAAGCCTTGGATATCAGGCTTAAAGCCCGAAATTCAGGTTTTTTTGGCCTGAACGACGTCGGGCCTGCAAAATGGCCCGTGTGTGCATGTGCAGCATGTAACAGCGGGCCTGTCTCAGCAGTCACAAGAGTGCACAAGAGCTGCAATAGCGGATATCTATTGACCGAGATTGAGAGAAGAAGAAGAGAGGAAACAGGTTAAATGGCTTATGCATCCTGAAGAGAACAAAACATGCGAAGGTACAGCAGACAAACTGGTCAGGAATACGAACGAAGAACAAAAAGAGAGAGCAGAATGGCTTTGAAAGGCCTTCCACGATTCAGGCCCCAAATTCGGGTCACAGGGTCAGAGGCCCTGGCCAAGATAGGTCGAATTCCTAACTAGTCAAATTCAGAAAAGTCACAGTCGGAAGGTGGTGTATGTTACATCTGAAATGGAAGGAAGAGGAGGGCTTACTCTTCAATATTTATGGCCCAAACTTGCCAACTGAAAGAACGTCCTTTCTAAGACAAATCGGAGACCTGATTCCGCCACTTACCCCATGTATTCTGGCAGGGGATTGGAATGCTACAATAGACCCATCAGTGGACCGTATTTCTCGATCCTCCAGTACCCCAAACTTATCAGAAGCTACACCAATCCAGGAAATGATGCTGAACCACAACCTGGTAGATCCCCATAGAATCCTACACCCCAACAAGAGAACCTTCACCTTAGTCAAGAGAAACCATGCTAACCATATGGCCTTTTCACGAATAGACTACTTTCTAGTGTCCGAAGTCATGATGGGGGCAGTCAAGGAAGCTGAACTGTTACCGTTGGCTCCATATTCTGGGCTGGATCACAAACTAACTAACTGGTCATATGCTTTGACCAAGTGGTTACAAAGGGAGCCAGCTTCCACAAACTAAACAATCCCTCCTGCTGAGCCAAACTTTCCAAAGTGAAGTTTGCGACTGCTGGCAAGGGTTGAGGTCGGTACGCCTAAGCATTGTTCCTCGATGGGAATGGTTTCAGAAGAGCTACTCGATCCTTTCGGACACCGTGGCCAAAGTTTCTAGGAAGCTAGCGTCAATAAGGAAACAAAGAAAACAATCATTAGACTTTGCACTGAAAATAGCAGAATCTAACCTGACAAACAACCCCGCCTCTCAACTATATATCGAGATCTTCGACAAGGCCCGAGAGGAATTGGCCATGTGGAAATGGTGGGATCTGAAAGGCCTTCAAATAAGAGCAAGAATGTGTGAATACGAACTCGGTGACTCAATGACTAAAGACTTCTTTGCCCGAATCAAAGCCAATTCGAGAGCTGGCACGATAGAAGGCCTGAGGTCACACGCAGCTCCCGAAACCATGAAATTAGATAGTGAAGGGATTCTGGAGATAGCCAACAATTTCTACAAGGAAGACAAGGGCATATCTAAGATAGCCTGACACTACGTCACAAGGAGGCCACGAGATGGGGGCCTAGGAATCATTGACCCCGGAACATAAACGAAAGCTCTACAAATTAAATGGATCATCAAACTGCTGATGAATCCGGACAGTGCCTGGAATAAGTTGGCACTGGATAGTATCAGATTGGTAGCACCAGTTCCCTCCCCGAACGATATGTCAGGCCTGTTTTGGGTAATGAGCAAAGAATGGCTGATATCTACAGGACGGAGGAATCGGACGAGGAATAACAGACCCGAAGACCATCGGCCGCCTACCCCCTACTGGCCGGCACTGCTTCGATCGTGGAGGAAAATAATCCCCAACAAGATAAACAAACCTAAATCTAAAGATGAAGTAGTAAGACAACCGCTCTTCGGGAATGAATGGCTAACAAACGAGGCCAACAACCCACTTTTCCTAGAACAGAGATGGCTATCTTGGATCAAGAACGGTATCTGGAAAGTAGACCACTTGTGGATGGAGGACAGAAAAGACTGGATAACAGAACAAGAAGCTAGTGCCCGACTGAAAGGATGCCACAGACGAGAGACCAATCTTCAATACATACTCAGTCGTATTCCTCAGGAGTGGAAAGATATCCCGGTAAAAGATGAGTCGTGGAGACCGGGCAAATGGGGTCTTATGATTCAAGACACATCCCCTACTAAAGCCTATCAATTCTCTCACATGCAGCAAGGCTCACACACCAGAGCCATTTTCCTCTCCTTCCCGGTCTCCTTCACCAATACGGACATGCCAGCTATTTTCAACTGCAATGTAGAAACATCTATACTGGATTCCTTCCTCCTCAGAAAAGTAAGGGTCCTAGGTACATGGCCAAAGGCAATTTTCAGACTGGACACTGCCATCTGATCCTTGGAGTTCGACCCAGCGGAGTGGGCCTAGAAGCCAAATACCACCAGCAACTTCAAGTCAAAAATCCCAATCCAGGATTACTCAGTAAAACTTAAGGTACAGACTGTCTCTGAAGACCAAAAATCCAGATCCAATCATCAAGAACAGATGGCGGAACCTCGTGGGTCAAGAAGCAGACAAAATTACACGAATCCATTGGGAAAAATTCAAACGTATCAGACCAATCAAGATTAGAAGTTTGCAATGGCTGATTGTATACGCAGCCCTGCCGGTGAACCAATGGCTGCACATTAGACGGAAAACCACAGAC